AAGAGTTACAGGGTTGAGGAGAGGGTAGAGGACAGAAAAGAATTAACACATGTTAAGTACATGCACCAATTCTTCATGAGGAATGAAATCATTATGCGCTACAAATGTGTACTAATAAAAATAACAATAAATAAAATAAAGTAAAATATACAAGTCATCTCTACAACCAGAACAGTAAAAGCCTCACAAGCATTGAGATAAAAACACAAAGAAAATACTTTTTTAATAGAGAAATAGGAAAAAGATCTTGACAACATGACTGTCATGGCTATTGCTTTAATTATATAAAATGTTAAGTCAAGTGAAAAATAAAAACATATTAAGTCCTCTTATTTCAAAAAGCCAAAAAGTTTCTATTATAGCTTGAAAAAGAAATCCTTTTATCTTTTGCATTTTATCTCCGAATTTTTCACACGGTTATATTTGCTATTTCGAGTTGCTCTAAGTGGAAAAAAAATAGCCATTTTAATTTTAGCATAGCTTTTGCTGTTTATATTATACAACTGTACTTCTTAAGCACACAAATGTAAGCATTTCCAAAATAACACAATTCTTATTTAGTAGCATATTTTTGCATATACATTTTGTTCCTACTAGAACAAAGTAAATACTACCCAAACTTGAAAATAGTAAACGATTTCTACTTCACTTCCTGATGTGCACCCTCTATACCCTGTAGTATTCCTTCACTTTGCTGAGTAAGGAAGACATGAAAAGAATTGCATCTATAAGTTTCCCTCTATTCATTTTCATCTGCATCATTATTCTCAGTATCAGTTAATATAGGTAAATTATGTGTATAAGAAGACTACAATAATATTCTGTGATCATTTGCATTTCTAGACTGTTACTACATTAATGCTGAGTTTGAAGCTAGTCGGATTCAAAAGGAAATTCTCAGAGAGCAGCTTAGGATTGTTCACTTCTGTGGTAATATAAATAGTTCACTTACCTTGCACTGGCTTTGAATTTCACTGGACTTCCATGCATAGTTGACCCACCAAAATTATGTTTTCTCAGGGCAATATGAGCACTGTGTACTAATGTGGCAAGAGGAAATGACGCACAAATATTGTGTTAATCTTCTCTGCTTTTATTTGTGCTCTACTTTCCACTAGATATAGCTTACCAAATATAATTCAGAGGTAAAATTACTACAATTTCATGAGAGCAGCACAAGGACATGAGGTTTCTGTGCATGACGCCCGAGTGGCTGTGCAGGTTACAAACTCATGAAGTGAACTTTCATTGAGAATGTCAGAAATCAATTTTTTGTGAACTCGTATTTTTATTTAATTTCACATGCTAGAAAAATTCCAAGTGTATTATAAAAATTACCATTTTCTCTTTGTTAATAGTCTCTTTCCTTGCTTTGTGCTTTTCTCTCTCTCAATGTCCTTGTGGGAGATTCTATCCAGATGAGAGTGAATGTAGACATTGACCATTTACCTGATATAAATCAGTGTATTACATAAAGAAACATCCTTCCATAATTTCTATGAGTTGGACATCTTTGTCCTCTCCAAACTCAAAGTTGAAAATCCTCCAGGTAGCAGTGCTGGAAGGTGGACCTGCTGGGAGATGTTTAGATCATGTGGGCTCCAGGCTTATTATTAGATGAATACCACTTAAATAGGGTTCCTGTGAGTGATTTCACTCTTTCCTCATGTGAAGATATCACCAGATGATATTCATCAGGCAAAAGATGCTAGTGGTTTGACCTCAGATTACACAGCCTGAGACATGATGGGTCAAAAATATTTAATTGTATGCTACTAGATATTTGGTAATTTTATAGCAGCACTAACTAGACTAAGAAATTGATACTAGAAGTGAAACATTGCTATAAAAAACCTGAAAATATGAAAGTAGCATTAGAATTGCTTAAAGGGTAAAAGTTAGAAATGATTGTCAGGTTAGGAGAAAACCTATATCGCAATTCATTGTACTAAGAGCTATAAAGCAGAAAAGAACTACAAGCACAATCCAGACTACCTTAGAGATTACTTAGTGGTGAAAGAATGTTGGTAGAAATATGTACCGTGTTAGCCATCGTAATGAGGTCTCCGGTAAAAATGGAGAACGCCGCATTAGAAATTGGAGGAAAAATCATTTTTGTTGTAAAATGACGAAAATGTGGCTGAATTGTGTCCATGGCCTAAGGCTTTATAGAAAGCAAAATTTAAAAGCAATGAATTAGATATCTGGCAGAAGCACTCTAAGAAGCAAAGCATTGATTTAGGGGCCATATGGCTTTTCCTAACTGCATACAGAAAAATGTGAGGAATGAAATATTTAAAGTTGGAATTTATAATCAAAATGGAAGCAGAATGCAGTGACTTGAAAAATCTCCAGTCAGGTCATATAAAGAATTAAAAAGCATGTTTAATAGAGGAAACTATGGATGTGTCTACCTACGATTTGATAAGGATGTCAGTATCAGTAACAATAGAAACAGTATAAGAGCTGCTTACCAAGGTGATGGAAGCATAACCTCAAATATATTTCAAAGTCATTACAGGTCCAGGATACTATGGCTTTGAAGGGAAACCAGACTTTTGGGAGAATCCTGGGAACCCAAGAGACTTTACTGTCTGCCCAAGGACACCTTGGAACTCTGCTCCATGTATTTTAATCCTGTACTTCTCAGTCACATCTGCTAGGACTCAAGAAGACACAGAGTGACCTTGGTTGCCACATAGTTGCCTCCAGTCAGATTTCAGTGAGCTGTGTGCAAGAGTCACTTCTTCCTAGGACAATACCCAAGGGAACCATGTGGGTGTGATGCCTCTAAAACAAAAGAAGTGCAGAGCCCCCTATGTACAACACCAGCCTTTGGGAGCTGCAGGCTTGAAGCTCCAGCTGGTAAGAGCTCCTGCAAAGGCTGAGCTCTGCAAAGCATCCTGGGTGAGACAGCCTGAGGTCCTAGGGACCCAAGAACCACCTCAGAGTAACCAGAGAGCAGGACACAGGGTCAAAGAAGATTATTCTCAAGCCTTAAGGTTAAATGCTCTTTCTTCTCTTGGTTTTGCATAAGACATTACTCCTGTTTTCTTGACTATTTCTCCTCTCTGGAATGAATGTGTTTAGGATGTGAGAACATGAATATTGGATCTAGGAACAGAATGCTATTGATTTCAATATATCCCCTGGAATTCCCATGTTGGAAATTTATCCTAATGGGACATTTTGGGAAGGCAGATCTAATGAGAAGTATTTAGGTCATACGGAATAGATAGATGCCATTATAAAATGGCTCAGAGATATTCTTGTGGTTCTATATCCCTCCTTTCTTCATGTGATGACACATTAAGAGGGCCTATGCCAAATGCTTGCAACTTGATTTTGGACTTGGATCTTGGAGCTGTGAACCAATGCATTTCTGGTCATTATGAATAACGCAGTTTCAGGTACTCTGTTACAGTAGCACAAAATTGAACAAAATAACATTTATGGTGCAGCTATTAAAATCAGAAAATTTTGCATAGATTCAAAGTTCGTCTTGTCTGAGGCCTATAATCAAATTTGTCAATCATCTCGATAGTCTTACATAATGCTTTTTCTTCAGAGTCCACGATCCAGTGCAGAACAATGCATTATATTTAGTAGTCTTGGCTTTTCAGTGTCCTTCAGTGGGGAGCCTTTCATCAATTATTTTTTATATATACGGACAGGACATTTTTGAAGAAGAAAAGCAATTCTTTTGTAGACTGATCCTCAGTTTTTTCATTGTTAGAATCACATTGCATCCTGTTAGGCAATGGAATAGAATGGAAGTGTGTCTGATCAGCACCTGTATGCTGCTACTGGAATCCTTCTAGTATTAAATTGGTAACTTACTTAATAGTATTATCTGAGGTTTCTTCATTGAAATGCTACTTTATTTCTCTTGTTATTAACAAGAAACAGGTAGCAAGATAATTTGAGACTACAAATTAAAAATTATAGTGTATTTTCTGTGATGTTTATAACCTGAATAAATTATTACTAAGATGGCTAAAATGTGCAGATTTTTTATAGCCAAGATTTTTTCTACATTTATTTAGATTTCTAATAGAAGAAGCTGTGTCCTTACAACACCATTTATGTATTTATTTAGTGTAAAATATTGGATTCATTTCTAGCTGTTCTTTAGATTAAATCCTATTACTATTTGGTTTAATTTATTGCTTATTTTCCAGATATTTGGCTAGTGGAAGCCCCGTCAGGTTCACTACTGAGTTCTTTCATATTGCCATTGCTATTTATTTATTTGGTTTTGATTCCTTTCTAAAACAAGGAGATCATCTAAGCCCACTTTGTATTTTCCCTGACATGGCAAGAATCAACTATTTCTCCAAGGAGCCTGAGGTCCTTTTAATGAATGGTGAAATTAGAAACCAAGATACAGTTTCATTGTTTGTGCTACTGAAATGTCATTCTCCTAGGCCCTTTCAGCAGAGGAAATTCATAAATATATCTGTCTGATATATATATATATATATATATATTTCAACACAAAATAGACATGCATATTTTGTATACATATGCATAGACATTTTCATATAAACATTTTTCTGTCAATTAGTAATATTAATCTGAACTTATATCTTTCATTTCTAATGAATACAAAGGTTATTCTATCATCTCCCTTTTCCTTATTTCCATTTTTAATGGAAATAGATGCAATTTTTAAAACAAATTTCAAGATGGTTAATTCTTATGATTTCAAAAACAAATATTAACTAAAATTCAAAATTAAAGTTCAAGATTTATTGGCATCTCTTTTAGACTTTAAACTATGGTTATATAATAAAGAGTGTCTCAGAATTACTTGTAATTCTTTTTATTTTCTTTTTCAGTGTACTTATTTTAATAAATCAATTTTTAACTGATTTGCTTTCTATTCCTGTCATGGTTTATGTCTGTGTCCCCCAGGCCTCATGAGTTTGCATTGTGTATTTGTGATTGGTTCACGGTCTAGTGCTTGGATTGACGGTGTCAGGGCTCCACCCACATAGGGATGGAGCCAGGATGTGATGTATTGGCAGGAAGGTGTGTCTTGCTCTTTGCTGGTTCCTGTTTGCTGTTTGCAGCCGCCATGAACTGCAGCCCAGCCATGCCCGCCTGCTTGGGAGCCAACTGAGTGTGGACTGAAACCTCCAAAAACTGTAAGAAATAAACCTTTCCTTTCCCAACTTGGGCATCAGGTGTTTTGTCTCAGCAATGAGCATAAAGTAACTAAGACGGCATTGTCTCTTTTTTTATCTTTTCAAATTTTATGCATTTTTTATGATATTTAAGTGACACTAAACATCCAGGCCATAAATAGAAATACATTCAAGGATGTCACATTCCTGTATTGCATTTTTCCTAAGCTGTTTCATTCCACCTCCTGTAGATAATCAATTTCATTAGTTTGAGATATAATCGTGCGATATTCATGTTTGCAAAAATAAGAAAATGCAAGTATACTTCCTTATTTTCTCTTTTTCCTTACTTCAGATCTTATCACTTCTAATCACAAATTCCTGCTTCATTCACCTTCATGCACTGCAGCATTCTCATACCATAAAATTCAAACTCAATCTCTGTCTTCCCCTCCCTCTCACAAACCTGTTCATTTGTACTATGTCTCTGCATTTTCACATTGTATTCAATTATATTTAGTCTCATTTTCTTTTATGTTTTTTTCCCCTTGAAGTTGTATTTTTCCTTGAGAACTTTAGTACTCTTAATGCAATGCAGGGGTCTTAATCATGGATTAATAAACATTAGTTTAATACACACTAGGATCCAACATTTGCTTATGGTCTTGTCATTCTAATATACTTCCAAATATTGAAATTTTTGGATAACTGTGACAGAATTACTTAAGAATTTCTTTGAAAAGGAAAATTTCATGCTACTGCAGACCTGCAGTGAATATTGCTTTCTGAGATCTGGGAATCTGAGCGTAATCATGCTCCAGAGCCATATAACTTGCTGGGAGGGACTTTCCACTTGTACATACCAGTCTGTTACCCGGGTGCAGCGGCCTCATCGCCATTCTGTCTCCTCTCTTCCTCTCTTCCTCTCCCCTCTCTTCCCCTTTCCCCTCCTCACCCGTTCCCTTACTTCCCATTTCATTGTCTTCCTCCTTTTCAGCACTCTAAAAGCTGCAAAATACATACATTTCTTTCGTCATGCCCAGTTAAAACTTCTTTCATCAGGAAGAATTTAATAATCTGTTTAAAAAGTTACATATAGAAGATCCAAACAATTTTTTGTCTTATGGTCTTTCTTTTCTAGTTCTCTTTTAATAATATCTTCAAATATCAAAAAGCTTCTGCACATAATTGTGTGTGAATTTAATATTTTATGAAGGACACTACCACAGATATTTTCATTCTTTTTCTCACAACTTATTTTTACTATGAATTAAAGGATTTTTAAATTATTTTGTTAATATTAATATATAAGAATGTCATCTTTGAATTTTTCTTTCTTCAGCCATAAAAATATTTCCTAAAATGTATTTGCGCAATAAGCCCATTGAGATATTGATATTTTTAAAAAATTGCTCAGTTATTAAGGGACACTTATTATGTACTACATGCTGTGCCTAGCATCGTTTTTAGACTATAAATAATCTTTTCAAATGTATACAATATTTAAGAACAAATCTGGATGTCAATGGATGAATAGAGCATGAGAAGTATTTTACATAAAATTGAAGATCATTTATATATTTAGAAATATGATCATAGAACTGTAACTGAGCTAATTTCAGTTGATTTTTTTAACAATAACAATAAATATAAACCAACAATATAGGTGACTACAGAGGATTTACTTTCATGTCCCTAAATGAAGGCTCTGAAGAGAAGAGACAAATAATATCTAAAGATCTTTCTCTGCTTCCTCTTCCTAATGTTTTGCCTGGTAAATAGATGGAGCTCCAAATATTGAATTCAATATTCAGAAGACTGAATTTGGTCAATGTCAATGAGAGCAAAATAATTTACTATTGAGTTTTAACTATGTTTGAAAATGTGGTGTAAGTTTATATTAATTTTTCTCATCAAAAGAAACAACACTATGCTATTAGAACAGCCACATTTCTGATGAAATATTTCTGAAATTTATCAACTTTATTTTTTTGTGCAAAAAGAGACAAAGGTCCTGGAAATAATGCAGGCCTCACTGTAGCACAGCAGATTGCTTTATGTTCATAAAAATCACTTCATTCTGTTCTGTCTTCAAATTGTAACAGTCTTGATTAGAAACTCAAGTGCCACAGCAAAAACAATTGTATAATTAGAAGATAATAATTTACTCTGGCAATGTCTTGAAAGTAAGAATTTTAAAGAACAATTAAAATTTCTATGTGTTTGATTGGAATATGTTTACACTGATTAACAATTTACAAACCTTTCTTTTCATAAGCCATCTTTGAGAAGATCTCAAAAACATTTTAGGTTCCACAGGCTTTTGGGTGAGATGCATTTTTTAATTCTAAAGTAATACAAGGTTTACAATGAATTTAATAATTTATTTCCCCCATGGAAGAAGTATTAATTTAAATAAATCATTCTAATCTATCTACAATTCTATAGAGAAATAAAGTCAAATTATAAGATCATCAAAATAGAAGAACCAAGTCGAATGATCTTCGTTTTCCAAACTTGACGAAAACTTTTCAATTTATGTTAGTAACACAGAGAAGAAAACAAGTCCTTATTTTCTTCTTGCAAAGATAGCTACAACTGTAATAATATCCAGTTGCCTGTCATTAAAAGCATCTGAATGAGGAGATAATTTTATGATCAGATTCTGCACAAAACAAGTAGATATTTTTAGAGATAAGTCACAAAGTAGAATAGATTCTTGGCAAGAGCTGTTAGAGAAGTTGAAGTCAATTCTTGTGGATGACAATAAGAATATTTCTGAAAGTACAGTACTTGAGATGAATTTTATAGAACTCATTTTAGTTATAGTGCTCATAATGTTAACTATTTTGAGTACACACACACACACACACACACACACACACACACATTCCTGTATGGTAAACAAGTTTTATTCCTATTTTAGAAATTAGTCATTGGAGGCTATGGATCTTGCTTAAAATCTTGTGAAAATTTTATATAAATAAGGAAATACATGGTGTTTTCTTATTTTTATCTTCTTATTCTTATTTTTTAAATTTCTAACCAGGAACTTCATTTACCAGCTGGGTAAACTTGTTAATTCCTTTCCCTTCTTTTTTTTTTTTTTAATGAGAAATTAAAACCCCCTTCCAATCAATGTAGAGACTAAATGCCTTACCTGGGAATCTTAAATGCAGGCAGCTACCTGGACTGACATATGTCTGGACTGAAACGAAAAGTGGGAGTTAGTTTAAAAGAAATATTTTCCTTAAGTATACTTTCAGAGGAGCTGTTTAAGGCCGATGTTGAAAATAATTATTCTATACGTATACTATAGTATACTACATCTGGTGAAAAAATACTTGATTTTCTACAGAGATGCTTTCAAACTATTATACTACCAATATCTTTGATGAAAATTTTAGGATTCTTTTTCTTTCTTGCCCAGATGCCTTGTGAATCAGGTTAAACTCCTGTTAAACAAATCATATGTGGTATTTTATGTTATCTTCCATGGTGAAGTAACTTTTTAAACGTTCATTTCAATGTTGTTTTATAAGAACTAGTTTTGACATCTGGTGAAATTCGTATTTCAAGTAAATGGCAAATAATTGATCACGCTAGTACAGTATTAGCATTCATGGGATTTAATCCTCTTAAAATAATTATTTCTTGCCCATCTGAAAGTCAAATATAATAAGACTTTGTTTTCTTTATTTTGTCTTGAAACCCACAATAGAATCCGTTGGATATATTTTTTGTCACTGATTCATGTGATAAATAATAACCAAAAGAAAAGACAGTGACTGAGATAGGAATAAATTGTTTCTGAATCTGATTCAAAATACTCTAATGAGGAAGGGACGTTTTCACGCTATAGCTAAAAGTCGACCTAATAAAAGAGACAAGCCGCAGGTGCAGAATGGTCAGTAATCCACTGATGGCTCCAAGGAGCTGATCCGTCTGTCTCTTGGCTTAGCTGCCTAAAGCTTTCCTTCATATTTGCCCATTGCTACACCTGTTTCTTGTATTGCTTCAAGAGGTGGCAGTGTCCAAAAGCAGAGAGTTAATTGCTTCCCGCAATGTTATTTTCTTAAGAGGAGTGAAACTTTCATCAGAAAATGCATGAATACCCAACTTCACAACATGAGGTTCCCCCTCCGTTTTCCTCCAAATGAGTCACAATACCCACGAATCCAATCATGACACGTCTGCCAACACAGGCAAGAGGTCAAGTTCCTATGAGACACATGAGGTAAAGCAGACTGGATGAAGCTTAAACTCCATTAGAAAAAAAGTTTGTAAAAAAGATAATTAGACAACCATTGCATCTGTTTCCCCTAAGATGTAAAATTCATGCACTGCCATTTACATAGGGGAACCTCCAATATGGAATAGTTTGTCTTGTTGCCCAACTGAGAATGTGTCCATCTTCCTAGAAATCTCTCCTAGGAATTCAGAAGAGGGAAGAAGATGGTGCTGAAAAGTTGAGATCTTTGCTGAACAATACTTGTACAAAAGGAAATTTTTTAAAAGTTCATTTAAATTTTCCTTAAAAATATGCATGTGTTTGTGTGTGTGTGTGTGTGTGTGTGTGTGTGTGTGTGTGTGTGTGTAGTTTTTAGTAGTCTCCTAAAGAGTGGTTCTCTGACATTTAGATCTCAAACTCCAGTAAGTCAGTGTGGGAGAGGAGGCTGAGAAAGAATAGTGATATTCACAGGGATAGACTATTTACCATTTTCTACTCTCCTTCCAAACATATAGTATTTTTGCTGACTAATCAATACATAAGCCAACATTTCAGAGTACACAAGTAACTCATCAGGACCTATTTGGTGCTGCTGAACTTATAAATCTATTATTTAAATATTACCAAATTTTAGAATCTGATCAAGTTAAACATCAAGTCTTGCAGCTTGAGTGACAGAGTAATTTTGGGGTAACTTTTTAAAAGATGAAGGCCTAGTAAATTTTATAAAGCAGAATATAGCACTGACAGTCATTGGGAAGAGAAAGTTTAAGCAATACAGTGATAATTAGCATGCAAGACAGCTTCAAGGATAACTGGATTCACACCTTAACCATCACTTATCTCCTTGGAGTCTGTAGTATCAGACAAAAGAGATATATTACACTTTCCATGATGGGATAGAAAAATGCTCCATTCTGATTGGAAAATGATGGTCATTGAGGTACACACAGGCATCAGAGAGTTCATCGGTGGAATTAAATGACCTTTGTGACTGCTATGTAAGTGGCAGTGAAAGCAAAGAGAGCTCCTTAGGAGCATGTTTTGCATTTAACCTAATATGTGAAATAATTCACATTCACTTGATTTCCTCCTTTCTTTTCCAGACGTTGCAAACCTAAGTCTGAACCTGTGAGGAAGAGCAGAGAATCTTGTACAGAGTTGTGAGTTGTAACCTGGCCTCTTCAGAAGTCTTCCTGTCTTACGGCTGTCTCCTCCCCACACTCCAGGAAATCCAACCTCTGTCCCATAAACTTCTGCAAGGCACTAGCTGGTCAGATTTGTCATGACTGATTTTTGTTTGCATTGTTATTAAATTGGCTCTTCTTTGGCTGGTTGTAAGCACACCTCCACTGTTTTATTATGTTATTGTTTAATCTTTATTTTTTATGAATGTAGAATGAATAAGAGAAACCCATGTGGCAGAACAGAGATTGTAGTTACTAGTTGATTTTAACTAAGTAGCTCTTTTGAGAGCCAATCATCAATTGAAAATAAATTTTTATTACATATAAACATTCAAATATATATTCAAGATAACATAAATGTTTCATTAAGTAATATTTATTTTAAAGTATATTATACACTCAAATACTGCACAAAGAGTCCTGAGATTTTCTGTTTATTTGGTTGGCATGTTATTTATAGGGAAAAGGTCAAAGAAGATCATAAGGAGCTGCTGATCATTCACAAAGAGCTCTTAATTTATTTTAATATGTTGAAGTTCTGTAGCCACATGCATACTTCTAAAGTAACCCTTCACACAGTACCACAGATGTTCATCATTTGTTCCATAGAGCACAGAACCCTGGCAAAGACATTATTTTCTCAGTAGTTGGTGAAGTCTTACCCCACTTGCGGGTAGCGCAAACGAGTAGCCCCAACACAATCCACAGGAAAAGAAGAAGGAATCTGTTCCTTTTGGGGGAGATCTAGTCTGCTGTTTCCTTTGGATGTTGGTCCTCAGTTTCTTCAGCTTTGCAGTTCAGTCTCTTTGGCTTTTTAATATAGATTTGCATTGGTGACTCTACAGGGATTTTCAAAGATTTCAGCCTTTCTTTACTCCCAAATCCTCTGGACTTCAGTGTGCAGGTGGTCATTTGGTGTTCTTCTGTCTCTGATTCTGCAGATGACCCCTGGGACTCTTCCAGTTCTGATCTCCTATGCCTACATAGCAAATTCCTTTGTATAATCAATATGTTTTATATTGATTTTGCTCCTGTAGAGAGCCCTAATGAAGGTATACATGTGTGTGTTTGGTTACAATGTTAAAAGTAATCATAAAATAGTATCTCAAATGTATTTAGAAAATAGCTTCTAAAAAGTATCCCAGTAGTTTCTATTTTAGCAATGGGTTACATAAAAATTGCAAGTAAGGGTTCACTCACTAAATTTAGCTATTAGAAGTCAGAGCATTCTAGACATTCAAGTTGCATAATTTAGCATCCATAAGCATCTTTGAATATGACAATCTTGCTTCCATCTGATCTAGAATTAGATACAGAATCAACATGTTCTTTTCTGCTTAGAAACCATTTCATAAGTGACTAAATTTCAAGTTGGAAAGTAATTCCAAAAAGTCACTCTACAGAAAGGAGTTAAAGTTCCCATTTATTCTTTTTTTATATGCTATTTAAAACAATTGGGTAACAATACTGTGCTTTACAATATGCTGAACAGTATCATTCACTTCCTGGCCACACTAAGCAAGTTTAAATGTTTTCATATGAATTTATAGCTCACTTTGCTCTTGATGTTTAATCATTCTTAGTGCTGTCTTGGAAGTCAGCACCCTTCCCTGCAATTCAGCACTACTGCTTCCTCGCTGGGGTCCGGCTACACCTGACTCAGGGATTCTGCATGACCCTCAGGGACGATCTAGGTGTGTGGAGCCACCAGGGGGTCCAGATGGGTGGCCTGAGGTAGGAATGGTCCTCATATCGCAAGTCTGGGGACTTCGGGGAAGACCATCATCTTTAAAAGATTATATCGTTTAGCTGCCTTTCTTCAACAAAGAATGGCCTGATTCTAAAATCAGACTGATTCAAAACAGATGGTTTGACTTATAATCTCTTAAAAATCTCATGTTTATTTTCGCTTCAGCACAAGGACAGTTTGTCTCTTTTATGTTTTTTTTTTTTTTGAGATTAATTATCCTATTAGTAAAGGCAATCATATTTACATCGACTTAAAGTTAAAGCACAGAGGTCTAGATATAGAGTAGACTTGTATTAATTTCTTGCTGTTATGCTTCTTGAAATATGAAATTGCTGAAATTACTTTTTTTCTTATTATTTTTAGTTTCAGTCTCTCAAAAATGTTACAACACTTCATTCTACTTTTAGAGAGAACTATGAAACAAATATCTCCTGACCTAGAAATTGCAGCAATTTTGCTTCCAGAAAGTTTATAAGAAAAACTGGAACTGGTTACTGAGGTATAATTGAAATAAATACATTTCTCTACAAAAAAAAAAAAAAAAAAAAAAAAAAAAAAAAAAAAGACCAGGCCTTAGCAAAGCCACTGCGGCTGAAAAGATTGGCCTCTAAAATGTTGTTTATTTCAACCACTAGGGGGCACTGATGAATTACTGAACTCCCCTCAATCCTGATTCTTTAAAAATTCACTGTGTGGCCAGCAATTTTTCAACTTTCAATGGGCAGGAATGGAGTGGAAAATAACGGTTTAAAAGTTTGTCTTGAGAGAGATAGACAGACAGACAGATGAAAAATATTCTCTGCAGAGTCCACCAGGAGGAGTGGACGAATCGCTGCATCACCCTCGTTAACAGCCTTCATCCTGAAGTTGTGTGGAGTTCCAACCTCTGCACAACCGTAAGGCCAGAATGGAGTTTATGTTGATTCATATTCTACCCTTTTCTCTTGATTCTTTTTTTTTTTTGTCGTTATATAATGACACCGAAGTCTAAGCATAAGAAAAACATTTTGGTCCATTACCACTGAAAACACAGATTGTGTTCATTTGGATGTAATGAGGGGACACAGAAGGACTTAAAAAAGCAAGGACAGTGAGAGTATAAACCACTCACTTTCATATAGGGTTTAAAATATTAGAGTAGGAATGCTAGTCATCTGTGTGATCTGTGCTCCAGATGCTTTGAGGTAGGAGAGAAAAATAAACATCAAAGTCAAAAATGACTGAAAAAAATTAAAGAGACACCAATATTTGATATGAAGCATTAAAGTAAAAGAAACAACCAATTAAATATATTGGTGATGAAAGACGTGTGACCAGACTAGTCAAAGCAATAACAATCAAGGGCCACTTACAATCCACTTGCCCCATAATTATTTTTCCCAGCCTTTTTAGATCCGTTTCATGCTTCTGCAAAGCTTATACCTAGAAAATTTAAAGAGAGACTGTTTATTTCTTCCAGAATCTCTTGTTTGAATGCATGGCTATCCCCGTACACATAGAGGCAAGCATGGTAGTGGGATTAGTGTTTTTCACTTGCTTCTAGGAGGATAGTTAGTAAGACCAAGATAAGCCAGTTCCTTGCATCAGTGTGATCCCCTGAAGAACATGGGTCATAGTGACCCCGAAAAACAGACTGTTTCCCATCAGTGTGATGTGTCATTAGTCACAGTAATCACCTCCAACCTGACAGTCTCCTAGGATAAAGCCCCTATCTACTGTGAGGTATAAGGTGGCAAAATTTCTTAGGCAAATAGTCAACAGAGGAACATTAGGGACAGTATTCCAAATTCAGTTTCTCTCTCTTTTTGTCTTCTCGTGGATCCATGCATCACCTTCTTACTCTCTATGAAATCATTTTTTCTTGACCTCAGTAAGCTTCCTTGGACCTAAAAATGTATCTTTGGCTACTTGGTTTCTGATTGTCACCCAGATGACTACAATTTCTGATTTTAAGGGTCCTTTTTGTCAGCTTGAGGCAATAGCAGTTGTCTTTAGAAGAATTTACTCGCAAGCTTCCCTAAGTGGGGGAGGAGAATGCAGCAGTTTACTTGATGTGGTTTTCTTAGCAGAAAAATTGACCCTTTTTATTGGGAACAAATTAGCCGCTAAAGAATGGCTTTATAGAGACCTACTTTATTGAAATGCACAGGGAAAGAAATTAAATTTGGAAAATATAATTGCTTCACCTGTAGAAACTCTTCTTTTGGTGGGTTTAGGTTTTATACCTGTACATTAAAACCTTGAAATAATTGTGTTTAGAGTATGAAAATCAATGTTAGTATAGGGTAGTGCATTTATTATGGATTTTTTTATTTTTACTGCTTTCATAAAGTGAAAATATTGCTTGCTTTGTATGCCTCTGGATAGTCTTTTCATATGTTTATGCTCATATATATATATATATATATATATACACACACATAACAGGTATTAATTTTTCATTTACTTTCTGGAAAACAGTTGAGGACTTTTCAACTATGTTTCTAAAATGACTGAGCTTAATATGTTACAGTAAATAAGAATAGGACAGAAATGCTACATTCTTTCCTGAACTTTCCTTCTTCAAAAAACATTAAAGCACTGTGGATGTGTGTATTATAACTATAGTAACTATTATGTTTGTATGCACATCTAGGTTTTAAAATTTCCGTAGTGTACAGTTTAAGGTCTTTATCCTTTGCTAAGATTTGGATCTTTTGTGTCCCTTGAAGGCATTATGTGTTCAGTGGCTTATCGTTCAGCTCTGGTTCTTTTGGAGGTAGTAAAAAGCTTAAGGAGCAGGGTAGTGGGAGGTTTTCGTTTACTGTGAGTGGGGAGTCAAGTACACTGTGTGAGCCACAGCCTCTACCTCTTTTCATGTCTTTGACATGAAATAAATGGTTTGCTCCACAATGTGGTCCCCCGCAGGATGTGCTACTTCACCACAGGCCCAAAACAGTGGAACCAATCAATTACAAATTGACCCCTCCAGAACTGTGGCTATAGTAATCTTTTATCTATAAATTGAGGATCTTAGATATTACACTGTGGTAATGAAAAGCTGACCATCTAAAGACTTCTTAGATATGTTGTTTAAAGCTTTAGTTCTTTTTTCTTTCTTCTTGAGGACATTTCTCTTCTAGTGGAAACTAGTTTAGGAATTGAGGCCGTTTGAACTGGTATTTTTTTTAGACATGACTTTTTCTTTGGTGAAGGTTGTTTAAACTTCCTCATCCTACATATCTGAAAGTCAGAAAATCATTTACATTCTAGGCTGAAGAGCAATTTTATGATTATTATTATTCCTTCTCTTTGTTAAACAAAAATATTATCAAAATACCCCAAAGCCAATAAATTCTGTTCTCTTCATTGTTAAGCTATTGAGACCTTTACTTTCTACCTCGTCTTTTGCAAAGTCATCTATTAATGCTCTGTTACCTGATTCCTAGGATGCTTCTCCATCTCAAAAGATACCATGAGGCACGGAGACTGAAAATTTTTGTTTAACCTCAATTTTCAGAATCTCATTTCTAGTGCCTTCTTTTACCATTCTTTTGTGCTGTGTACTCCACTATGCTATGGAATTTTGTCATCATCATGACATAGATGACTTGAAGATCCCCTTCTTTGACTACAACCACTTACCTTTCCGATTATCCTATCAAATGTCCCTATC